TGCCGGTCCGGGCTCGTCGTCGGTAGCTTGCGCGCCGACCCAGTCCGGCCTGCTCAACAGCCATCGACACAGCTCGCGTAGAGACGAACCACTCATTTCCCTCCGGGGGACCCCGGCGCTGTCCTTCAAGAAGGTCGGTGCGCCCAAAGTGCTTGGGTTGCTTCGCTGATTGCCGTCCGTGTGGACACCGGCTTCCGGCGCGAGACCGCACGAGCAGCAGCCAACTTCTCGTCTCGCCTGCCCTTGAAGCGGTGGAACTGCATGGGGATCGCAATCTTGGAGGCGGCTTCGGTGATGCCACTGCACCATGAAGTCCTTCCTGCGCCTCTGCTTTCCGAGCTGAAAGCTTCCGCTGCCCGTCCAGTTGATCGACATGAAGACGATGATTCCCAAAGTGCAATCGCAACAAGAAATGGTAGTCCGTCACATAGAAAAGCATCGCTCACACTGTACACTAATGCATAGAGCCCCAAGCTACGTATGGCCAACTGATTGCAAGCATGGCCTCAACGGCTAATGATCAAAGGCAGAGCGAGCGAGGCATGGGAAGGGTCAGCGTGATCTAACAAGTCCCAACCCAAAAATCCGTGCTTTCTAGCGCGCTCGACGTCACTCCGCAGCGATCGCAGGCAGCCGACCGAGCCAAAGCTGCTGTCTGGCCCAGCAGCAGGTGGAGGAAATGCCCAAATCAGGGGTCCATCGCCCAAATTCTCGAAATAGAGCGAGCGAGCAGCGACGCGTTTTGAGAGCCGAGAGACAGATGAGGGTCCCCACAGCAGGGCGAAGGCAGACAGCGAGAGAGAGCGAGAGCGAGAGAGCGAGAGAGAGAGACGGCCGATCCGAGCCCAAACGCACGATCCAACTCTGCAACCCAACGCCCACCGACCCACGCTTCCTCCCTCTCCTCCTCCTCATCCTCCTCCTCATCATCTCCGACTTGCAATCCTCCTTTCATCACTAGCGCCTGCTCATTCGCTGATTCTACATCGGGCGCACATACTCATCGCACGCGCATCTTCCACCGCTCCACGCACGGCCGCAGGCCCCCCGCCCGTCTCCACGCGGAACCGATGCTCTAAACCGCACGTGCTGAGCGAGGATCGATCCTCTTGCAATTCTCACGCCATCTGACTCGGAAGCAACCGACCCAGTCGATACGCCACCATGCTCGAGGGAGTGCTCGCCTCGCTCCTTAACAAGCTGCTCGCAGCCTACGTCGACGGCCTCAACACAAGCCAGCTCAACGTCGGCATCTGGTCCGGCGACGTCAAGCTCCGCAACCTCCGTCTCAAGACCTCGGCGCTCGACAAGTTCCGCCTCCCAATAGACGTCAAGGAGGGCTACCTCGGCGACCTCACCCTCTCCATCCCCTGGTCCAACCTCAAGGGCAAGCCCGTACGCATCCTCGTCGAAAATGTCTACCTCCTCGCCGCTCCCAAGAACGCCAGCGTCGAGGTCGATGAGGAAGAAGAGGCGCAGCGTGCCCAGGCCGCAAAGCAGGAGAAGCTCACAAACGCAGAGCTCCTCGGCAGAGACAGCGGCCAGAGCGTAGGCATCTCGTCCGAGGACGAGCAGAAGAACCAGTCCTTCACCAGCTCCCTCATCACAAAGATCGTCGACAACCTTCAGTTCACCGTACGCAACATCCACATCCGCTACGAGGACAGCCTCTCCAATCCAGAGCATCCCTTCTCCGCCGGCATCACCCTCGCCGAATTCTCCGCCGTCTCCACGGATGCCAACTGGAACCCCACCTTCATCCAGAACTCCGGCGACGGCATCCACAAGCTCGCCCGTCTCGAGTCGCTCTCCGTCTACTGGGACACCGACTCCGACTCGCTCGCCGGCCATGAAATCAGCGAGGCGCAGAAAAAGTTCAACGCGCTCATCGCACGCTCCGACTCGACGCCCGACCACCAGTACATCCTCAAGCCCGTCAGCGGCGCAGGCCGACTCGTCATGCGCAAAAAGATGACGCCAGAGGTGCCAAAGATGGATGCACAGCTGCTCTTCGAAGAGCTCGGCTTCGCCCTCGACGACGAGCAGTACCGCGACGTCATCTCCGTCGCCGACCTCTTCCACTTTTACACGCGCCAGGCACAGTATCGCCGCTTCCGCCCCACCCCGGAGCAGCTCGCCGAGAACAGGCCGCGCGCCCTGCTCCGCTTCGCCGGCGCCGCCATCCTCAACGAGGTGCACGAACGCCATCGCGTATGGACCTGGGACTACTTCCGCCAGCGCCGCGACGACCGCAAAGAGTACGTCGAGCTCTTCAAGCAAAAGGAGAAGCAAGTCCAAAAGACCAACCAGCAGCAGGCAGGCGTCGCCATCGCACAGAGCGACAGCGGCTCGCGGCTCGAAGAGCTCGAAAGGAAGCTCGACTACAAGGACATCCGCTTCTACCGATCCATAGCGCGTCACGAGCTGCGCAAGGAGTCGCTCGCCGCCAAGAAGGACGAGATCGCCGCAGGCGGCAATGGTCACGGTGCCAACGACCAGAAGGCGGCAGGTGGCGGCGGATGGCTCAGCTGGATCTGGGGAGGCGGTGGTGGCCAGCAGCAGCACGGCAACGACTCGGGCGTGCTGAATGAAGAGCAGCGTAAGGAGCTCTACGACGCCATCGAGTGGGACGAAGACGCGAGTGCAGCCGCCCTCACCCAGGCCGTCGATGCACCGCGCGATGCCATGCACCTTCGCCTCATCACCAAGCTCAAAACCGGCTCCGTCGCGCTCAAGGATCATGCCCGCGGCACCGACATCCTCTCGCTCGTCTTTGACTCGCTCCAGGCCAACGTCATCCAGCGCCAGGACAACCTCGAGGCAGCCGTCGCGCTCGGTGGCCTTCGTCTCTACGACGGCACAACGCCCAACTCTCTCTATCCGCAGGTCGTCCGCGTCAAGGACGAGGAGCTCGACAGTTCCAGCCGTCAGAATTCCGGCGGCGGCGATCTCAAGCAGATCGAGCACGAGGTCGAGCAGGAGAGCGACCCGGACAATCCCTTCTTCTATGCAAAGTACGAGCTCAAGCCGCTCGACGACCGCGCCGACAACGCACTCACGCTCAGGATGCGCTCCATGGAGATCATCTACCATCGCGGCTTTGTCGAGTCCATCGTGCGCTTCTTCAAGCCCCCAGAGAGCGAGCTGGAACTCATCGGCGCCCTCATCGACGTCGCCAGCGAGACCATCGAGGGCATCCGCAAGGAGACGCGCGCCGGCCTCGAAAGCGCGCTCCAGAACCACAAGACCATCGACATGGTCGTCGACGTCAAGGCGCCCATCATCATCATCCCCGAGGACGTCACCACCAAAAAGTGCCAGCACATGGTGCTCGACGCCGGTCGCATCGCCGTCCGCTCCGTGCTCGCCGACCAGAACGCGCTCGACACGGTGCGCTCCAAGCAGAATCGCGCCTACACCGACGAGGACTATCGCCAGCTCGAGGATCTCATGTACGACCGCTTCTTCGTCAAGCTCGAGTCCGCCCAGCTCGTCATGGGCAACGACATTGATTCGTGCATGAAGGGCCTCCACTCCAACGCCACCGACCATGGCCTCCATCTGCTCGAGCGCATCAACCTCGACTTTACCCTCCACAACTCGATCCTCTCGTCGGCGCCCAACCTCACCAAGTTCAAGATGACCGGCCACCTGCCCACGCTGCGCGTCAACTTTTCCGACCGCAAGTACAAGACGCTCATGCGCATCATCGACGTCGCCATCCCCAACTTTGACGACGACTCGAGCGCTGGCAGCTCGCCCACCAAAGGCCTCGGCACCATCGAGGAGGAGCTCGAGCCCGTCGCCATTGGTCAGCGCCAGACGGGCAAGGACGACGACGACGAATTGGACAAGGATGCGGACAAGGACGACGCCAGATCATCGCGAAGGGCGCGGGGCCGGCCGTCCGACGCGCTGGATCTCAACAAGGCGCGTCGGCAGCGTCTCGCGGGACAGCTGCGCGGCGAAGACGACTATCTGGTCGACGCCGGCCTCGATGACGACGACGGCAAGGACGAGTTCCAGGACGCCGAGGACGCCACCATCGACAAGGTCAATGCGCACCAGAAGACGTTTGAGCTCGAGTTTGTCGTCGACTCGCTCCAGGGCTCCATCTTCCGCTCCGCCACCGACCCGTCCCAGCCTGACCGTCTCCTCGTCGATGCCCGCTTCGAAGGTTTCCTCTTACACCTCGCCGTCTACCCGTACCACATGGACGTCGATGTCGGCCTGCGCAGTCTCGAGCTGGAGGACAAGATCGTTGACCAGGGCGCGCAGTTCCGCCACCTCATCACGTCCAAGCAGGTCCGGGACGGCAGCTCGCGCTCGGCGACGGGTGACTCGCATGCCTCGTCGGGTACTGCATCGCCCTCAGACCAACGCGATCTGGTCCGTGTCAGATACACCCGCGTCGATCCCGAGTCGCCCGAGTTCATGACCAAGTACGAAGGCATCGACCAGACGGTCAACGTCGAGCTCTCGACTATCAACATCATGCTCACCAGGGTCAGCGTGCTGGCGGTCTATGACTGGATCATGACCACCTTTGTCGCCGTGGACGAGCCCACGGCGTCGTCTGCGCAAGAGTCCGAGGACAGCAAGCAGCGCCGACCGAGTCGATCGTCCGATCGACGTCCGAGCGACGCTACGTCCAAGCGGCCCTCGATCCGACCTCCCGAGTCGGCTGGTGCCGCTACCGGCGGTACCGTAGCTGCAGCCAACGGCAACGGCGAGCGCAAGGAGAAGCTGCGTGTCCGTGTCAAGCTCAACTCGATCGTGCTGCGTCTCAACAACGACGGCACGCTGCTTGCAACGCTCACGCTCTCCACGGCCGATGTTGCCGTGATGCTGCGCGGCAACACCATCCGTGTCGCTGCACGCCTCGGCTCGCTGCTCCTCTACGATAACGCCAAGCGCACGGTCGCCGACCCGCACTTCAAGAAGCTGCTCACCATCCAGGGCGACGAGCTGGCCGACTTTACCTACGAGACGTTCGACGTCGCCGACGCTGCCTCCTATCCGGGCTACGACTCGTCCATCTGGCTGCGTTCCGGCTCGCTCAAGTTTACCTTCGTCGAAGAGCCCATCCGGGACCTGCTGCAGTTCTTCAGCAAATTCGCCCAGATGAAGGCCGTGTACGATGCCGCCACGCTGGCTGCCTCCAACCAGGCGTCGCAGCTACAGGAGCGCGTGGACCGCATGCACTACGACGTGCTCATCAAGACGCCCATTGTCGTGCTCCCGCGCTCGGCCGACTCGCCGGACGTGATGACCGCCAACCTCGGTGAGATCTACGCCAAGAACACATTTGCGATGCGCGACAACAAGGAGGCCATCACCAAGATCGAGGCGGGTCTGCGCCACATTCGCCTCGCCTCGCGCATGCGCTACGGCAGCCAGGAGTACCACGTGCAGATGATCGACGACGTCAACATCTCCCTCGACATGGTGCAGTCCGACCGCGCTGGTGCCGAGCCTGGCACGGCCAACGACAGCCCAGAGACGCAGATGGTGGCCAAGATGTCCGATGTCCACATCAAGCTCACCGAGGCGCAGTATTGTTTTGTCATGGCGCTCACACAGTCGATCCCGCGAGCCTTTGCAGGGCTTGCGGAGGAGGCCAACGGTCTCGACGATGCAGCGAGCGGCGCGGCCACAACATCGGGCGCAGCGCCATCTGCATCGACGCGGACGCCGTCGGGCCAGCTGCAGCAGCAGCCCAGTACGCCCCGCAAGCGCAAGACCGACGGCAGCGACTTGGGCCAAGACGGCGAGGCAGAGTCGACGAGCGCCACGCCGACCAAGAAAGGTCCGGGCGTCGACATGCTCCCGGAACTCGGCACGATTGTTCACCGGGAGGACGGTGATGTTCCAGTCTACACGAGCCTCGACATGTTTTTCGACGTCAGCTCGATCCAGCTCGAGCTGTTCACTGCGGCCGCGACGGGCCAGGAGACGCTGTACAATGCGCAGCTCGCCCGCTTCTCCATCAACGGCTCCGAAGTCAAGCTCAAGATGCTCTCGGACAACTCGCTCGAGGCCGAGGTGGCGCTCAAGACGTTTACCGTCACCGACCAGAGGCCCGACAAGGACACCAAGTTCCGCGAGATCGTGCCCGCCGTCAAGCACGAGGGCCATCAGTTCATGATGAGCTACAGCGTCTCTGGCGGCGACGATGGCTCGGCGCTGGCGCTCGTCACCGTCGACAGCCCCAAGATCATCTTTGCGCTTGATCCTGTCTTTGCGCTGCTCAACTTTTTCATGAGCGCCTTCCCCGACACGCCGCCGGAGGAGGAGCAGAAGGCCAGCGCGCACGACCAGGCTGCGCCGGTGCAGCAGCCAGACGCTGCGAATGCTCCGCCGCCCGCTGGAGGCACGTTTGCCTTCCGTGTCAACGTGGTCGATCCGACCATCATCCTGCTCGCCGCGCCCGAACGCCACGATACCGAGGCGATTGTGCTGTCGATCAAGCAGGTGCTCATGTCGCAGCAGGGCATCTTGGCGCTCAAGGTGGACCAGTTCGGCATGTTCATGTGCCGGATGCACCGCCCCAAGGATACGCTGCGACTGCTGGACAACCTCGACGTGGCGCTCTCGATGGACAGCCGCGTGAGCCAGACGAGCTCGACGACGAGCATCGAGGTGGATGTCGAGCCGCTGGTGCTGCGCGTGTCGATGCGTGACATCATGATGATCCAGTCGGTCGTCAACAAGGCCATCGAGCTGTCGGCGCAGCAGCCGTCTTCGACGGGCCGGGCGGATTCGAAGAGCATCGCCTCGTCGCAGCGCAGGCAGGCATCGATGGCGAGCACCAGCAACACGATCGACTCGCTCACAAAGGTGGCCAAGCCCGGTGTGGATGACGGAAGCAGCACGCTCGATGCGCGCCCGCCGCAGCGCATCGAGGACGCCGAGCTCATGATCGCCAAAGAGTCACTGCGGGCCGACTTTGCCGGTGTCCAGGTGATCCTGATTGGCGATGCGCACTCGCTGCCCATGCTCGACCTCAACGTGTCCAAGTTCGCGGTGGATGTGCGCGACTGGTCCGGCGATATGCATGGAAGCACGTTCCTCGACCTGTACATCAACTACTACAACCTGTCGCGCTCGCACTGGGAGCCGCTCATCGATCCGTGGGGCGTGCAGTTCCACATGGAGTCGAGCGCGTCGCCCGCTCGCTTCAGCGCCACCGTGTCGAGCAAGAAGCGGCTCGAGCTCAACGTGACAACCACGCTCATCGAAACGAGTCTGTCGGCCATGTCGCTGCTCAACGAGGTGGATATCCAGGACCTGCAGCAGCGCAACCGCGCACCGTTTGTGATTCAGAATCGCACCGGCTACCGCATCGCGCTGTGGGCCGAGCACGACGAGCGCGACCGCAAGAGCAAGAACGCACCGCAGCACCTGGACGACGGCAAGGACATGCCGTGGCGATTCGATGACTGGAAGTCGATGCGCGAGCACATCCACGAGAGCGGCGGCAACCGCCTGTCGCTGCAGATCGACGGCATGCCGTGGGAGCGACTGCGCCATATCTCGGTGGATCGCGAGGGCGAGTACATGCTGACGCTGCGGCCCAAGCTCGACAAGGTGGCGCATCGCGTCCAGTACGAGGTCAAGCTGCACAACAACGTCAAGTACATCACCTTCCGGTCGTCGTTCAAGATCGAGAACAAGACGCTCATCCCGATCGAGATGGTGATTCTCGATCACGAGGGCAATGTGACCGATCAGGTGCGACGCATCGGGCCTGGCGAGGACTGTCCCGTCCCCATCGAGGCGGCGTACCACTGCCGCGTCAAGGTGCGGCCGGACCCAGGCTTCGAGTACGACTGGAGCAACGAGAGTCTCAACTGGCAGGACCTGCTCAAAAAGTCGACGCGCACGCTGACCTGCCGTGCGCACGACGAGGGCGAGGCGCCGTTCCGGTTCCAGAGCTTTGCGATCTACGACCGTCAGGATCCCAACAGCCGGGCCTACCCGCGCGTCACGCTGCGGCTGCGCGCGCCGGTCGAGGTGGAGAATCTGCTGCCGTACGACATCCAGTACCGCATCTTTGACAAGAATCTCAACCACAACTGGTCGAGCTACCTGCGCAAGGGCGGCATCAGTCCGATCCACGTGGTGGAGCTGTCGCATCTGCTGCTGCTGAGTGTCGACATCCAGTCGTCGTGCTTCTCGCCGAGCGAGTTTGCGATCATCGCGACGGACAATCCGGACGACTTCCCCGTGGAGAAAACGCTGACGCTGGCGGATGCCGAGAACCTCAAGCTCAACCTGCGTCTGCACTACTCGAAGCATCCGGACTCGGGCGGCGCGTTCAAGGTGCAGATCTACTCGCCGTACATCTTTATCAACCAGAGCGGCCTGCCGTTTGCGCTCAAGACCAAGTCGTGGCTCGGCAGCGCCAAGCTGGTGGCGGGCCAGGACAGCGGCGCGTCGGCGGCGATGCGCAGAGAGCCGGAGCCGTTCCTCTTCTCGCACAACTCGAACGACCGGCGCAACCGCGTTCTCATGCGCGTCGGCGACTCGCAGTGGTCCAAGCCGCTGTCGTTCGAGGCGATCGGATCCGAGACCGAGGTGGTGATCCCGTCGGCGTCCAAGAACGAGGAGATCCACGTCGGCCTCACCGTCGAGGACGGCCTGGGCAAGTTCAAGCTGTCCAAGGTGGTCAAGCTCACGCCGCGCTACCTGGTGCGCAACAATCTCACGGGCCCGATTAATCTGCGCGAGGCGGGCGCGGCCGACTTTGTCACGGTGGAGCCGGGGCACCGCGTGCCGCTGCACTTCCTGAGGGTGGGCGCAACCAAGCAGATGACGCTCGCCTATCCGGGCATCAACAACAAGTGGAGCGCGCCGTTCAACATCGAGGATGTGGGCAGCGTGCATCTGCGGCTGGCCAAGGCGGGGCAGCACCAGCACCTGATCAAGGCCGAGGTGCTGCTCGAGGGACCGACGATCTTCATCTCGCTGAGCCAGGAGGACGGGCCGTGGCCGTTCATGCTGCGCAACGAGAGCGACTACACGGTGCAATTCATGCAGGCGACCGAGCGCAGCGACGAGGAGGGCGGCGGGAAGCGCGTCGACGAGGCGGTGGGCAAGCGGTACGAGCTCAAGCCGCGCTCCAAGATGAAGTACGCATGGGACTATCCTGCGGCGACGGACAAGATGATCAAGCTGGTGATCAACGGGCGCGAGCGCAACGTCAACATCCTCGAGATCGGCAGTCTGCTGCCGTTCAAGTTCGCCTCGGCGGACGGACGCGGGAGCCGGGTGGTGTCGCTGGACGTGCGCGCCGACGGCCCGACGCAGACGCTGGTGCTGAGCAACTATGCGGAGGAGCTGAGCAACTTCAAGCTCAAGCGGCAGAACTCGACGTTTTCGCGCAGCGACACGGTGTCGAGCGTGGCGAGCCGCGATGCGGGCTTTGTGGCGGTGGACGTGGACACGAACATCCTGACGGCGTTCAACGTGGAGTTCGAAGGCGTCGGCATCTCGCTGATCAACCAAAACGTGCAGGAGCTGGCCTACGTCTCGTTCCGCGGGCTCGAGATGCACTACACCGAGTCGGAGGTGACGACGGCGGTGAATGTGATCTGCAAGTGGATCCAGATCGACAACCAGCTGTTTGGCGGGCTCTTCCCGATTGTGCTGTATCCGACGGTGATCCCCAAGGACGGCAAGGATCTGGAGGTGCATCCGACGCTGCAGGCGTCGGTGATCATGCTCAAGGACGAGTCGCACGGCGTGACGCACATCAAGTATGCGTCGGTGCTGCTGCAGGAGATCACGGCGGAGCTGGACGAGGACTTTTTGTTTGCGCTCTACGAGTTTTCCAAGTTCGAGGGTGCCGCGTGGCAGCTCGAGGCGGAGAAGGAGACGGACTTCATCGAGCATCCGCGCGAGGTGCGCGAGCCGAGCGGCACGCAGACCGCGTCGGACGACATCTACTTTGAGATCCTGCATCTGCAGCCGATCGCGCTCAACCTGTCGTTCATGCGCACCGAGCGCGTGAATGCCGACGAAAAGGTCAGCTCGAGGAACCCGCTGATCTTCTTCTTCAACGCGCTCACCATGGCCCTGGGCAACGTGAACGAGGCGCCGGTGCGGCTGAATGCGCTCGTCATCGAAAACGTGCGGCTGAGCAGCGCGGTGCTGCAGCGGCGCGTGGTGTACCACTATTCGCAGGGCTTCCTGCTGCAGCTGTACCGGGTGCTGGGCTCGGCCGACTTTTTGGGCAACCCGGTGGGGCTGTTCAACAACGTGTCGTCGGGCGTGGCGGACATCTTCTACGAGCCGTACCAGGGGCTTGTGATGCACGGCAACAAGGAGTTGGGGCTGGGCATCGCGCGCGGCGCGTCCTCGTTTGTCAAGAAGACCGTGTTTGGGCTGACGGATTCGGTGTCCAAGGTGACGGGGTCGATCGGCAAGGGGCTGGCGGCGGCGACGATGGATAAGGAGTTCCAGTCGCGTCGACGCATGTCGCGCTTCCGCAACAAGCCGCGGCACGCGCTGTACGGCATCACGGCGGGAGCCAACTCGTTCTTCACCTCGGTGGCGAGCGGGTTCGAGGGGCTTGCGCTGCGGCCGCTCGAGGGAGCCGAGCAGGGGGGTGCGGGTGGATTCCTCAAGGGCGTGGGCAAGGGGCTGGTGGGAGCGATCACCAAGCCGGCGGTGGGGGTGTTTGATCTGGCGAGCAACGTGACGGAGGGGATGCGCAACACGACCATGGTGTTTGACCAGAACGACATTGACCGGGTGCGGTTGCCGCGGTACATTGCGAGCGATGGGATCGTGCGGCCGTACTCGGACCGGGAGGCGCTGGGACAGACGTGGCTCAAGAACGTGGACAACGGCCGGCTGATGAAGGACTCGTACGTGGCGCATGTGGATGTGGGGTCGAGCGAGGGCGATGCGGTGATCATGTTGACCGTGTCGCGCATCGTGTATATCCGCACCATGCGGCTCAAGGTGATGTGGGAGGTGGCACTGGCGGATCTCAGCAGCATCTCGCTGGAGAGCCAGGGCATCGCGCTGGTGCTGCGCGGCGGGGTGAGTGGGCCGTTTGTCCATCTGCCGGATGTCAGCACGAGGAACTGGCTGTTCAAGCAGGTGTCCAAGGTGGTGCAGAACTACAATGCCGCCAGGCAGACGTAAAACACTCGGGGAGGGGATTCAATGCGATTGTTTATTTCTGGAGCATGCTCGTGTAGTGTATCTTAGTCTGCGGATGTATGGTGTGGTGAAGGGGTCGTGAGGACCATGCGGCGGCGGTACCTGTCTCAGTTTGGCCCACGGACCGCAGCGCGTGTGGGTTCTTTTTGGCGACGAAGCCTGCCAGATCGGAACGGGCGCGGATGCCAGTGTGGCCTCAGCTGCAAATAGCCGTCCTGCCATCTGTCGGACCGAGGCGGCGAGTGGGTGTGGTTCGGTCAGGCACACGCTGGCCGCCAGTCGGTTATTCATGCAGTCCTTGCAACAATCTCGCCCGGCTCAAAATGTGCGGGGCGGAGCGAAGCCTACGGCGCATGGATGGCCGAACGAGGCAAGGAGGCAAGTGAGAGCAGGTTCGAGACGATCCGGATCGACATCGGGCAGAGAAAGCGAGGCTCCTGACACGGGATACGCCCTGCACAGCCTCGGGTAATTTTGGTGCTTTTTTAGCCAGCCGGCCAGCCAGCCAGCCAGCCAGCCAGCCAGC